CAGGGGACATTCCAAGCTCAGACCACAGGGAGGGTGTTGATCAATTGTTAAGCTCTAGGGACAGGGAGAGGCAAGGCCTCTTTCATGGGGGTCCCAACCAGGCCCTGTTTCAATTCCCCCCATCTTATGTTCATTTTATTTCTATAAAGTCAGTAAGGTTAGATTCGAGAGGAAACGAAATAACTACATTAATGATGACAATTTTGAAATCCAGGAATACAGGAAACAACTGCTCTAGCTACTCCCCGCTGAGAGTGGGTGTAGTCCCTGCCTACGGGCACCAGAGTCGTTTGTTATTTAGTTACGGGGTGGGGGGGGGGCGGGGGGCATACCCAGCAGTCAGAGAGGCTATTGAACTTAGCTCTTACATTACCTTATTCTCCCTAGAGGAGCCTGGGGAAGAGGAGAGCCAAAAGGCGTTCGTTCAGTGGGCTTCCCAGATGGGGCACAAGTAGAGAGGCAGTAATGAACAGCTCCAGCAGTTCTGTCTGAAGAGGAGCTTCAGTTGGCTCACAGGAGCAGAAGTGACAGTCTTCCTGCCGAGGGAGTCCTGTGGAGACTTAAATAAGTTTGATTCAAGGGAAGTGGACTCAGCCACTGACTCTCTGAAGCCCAACAACAGCTGGGGTGCTCGGAAAACCTGCAAAGGGTCCCTTCTATTTAGGAGCTAACTGGTCTGTTACGACCACTCCCTCTCTAGGTTTCTAATAGTACTTGGTCTCCTGGCTTTCTGGGGCTACAATATGTAGAGGTGCCAGTTCCCTAAATTTCCTAAGTGCCTGCTGAATCTCTCCCAAGTTAACAACATAGGATGGGGGTTAGCAAACTTTTGAGACGGAAGAGCCACCAGGGGTCTGAACACTGCAGCTTGGGAACTGTGGCTCTGAAGTAAAACTGAAAATGAAAATAAAACTATCATAGCTTCGTTTATAAAATGTTTAAAGGATATAAGTCACACAGTGGTGATTATGTAAAAATACATTTATGGTTCTTGAATAATTTTTAAATTGTTGTGAGGGACAGGATTGGCTCTTCCCGGGGCCGGCAAACTTTTGAGATGGAACGTACCCAAAGAGCCACAGTTTGCCGACCCCTGATATAGGAGATAACAGAATTGAGGTCAAAATCCAAAGCAATTGGCAGCAATGAGAGCCAGAGCTTCAGAGGTCTCCTGACAAAACTTTCCCAGAGTCCTTTTTAAGTCTGATTTGCTCATTTTACATTTCCTCTAAGGTACAGGCCAATAGTAAGAAACAAGCTTGAGTCTGAGCCCAAATTTGGGGGCTTTATGTGTCCACACAACCGAGCAGTTTTCAGAGGAAACAGGTCCAGAGTGAACAGTCAAGGCAGAATAAATGGGTCCCATATCAATCAGGAAATTAACATGCTTACCTGCCACATCAAGGGTCACCTGTAGTTCCTCCCCTGCGATGAGCATGGCCTCTTTCTTTTCCGGAGCCACTGGGCACTTTAGGTCCGTCAGTCAATCACAGCCATTTGCTGGGAAGGAGTTGGTCCCCGCTGCCTTCAAAACAGGGGACAATCCCTCCTCCAGTGCCCTTTAGTTTGCACGGGGGCACAGCTGCTTTGCAGGATTGGGAAGCTTCTTACTCCAGTGGCCTGGGCTTCCACACCCAAATCAGGCTCCTTTTGCTCTTCTGGGGCTGCTTGGGTGGCCCTGGCCAGTGACCTGTCTATTAACTGCAGCCCAACATTTGACCTACCTCTGGCCTCATCTACATTTTCACGGTTCCTTTTATTTCCTTGTTTCAGTTATCAAAGACATTTAAACAAATTTCCTAGCCTTCTCAAGGATCTCAGCCTCTTTATCAGGAGTGTAACAGTAGGCCAGAACCATTAAAATACCCTGCCAAATACACTGGCCCATATCTGACACGGAGGAGGACATCTGAATTCTAGCAGTCCTAAAATACAGATGTTTACATAACTATTAGAAAAACTTTTAGCTCTTAGATTTAATTTTCCTGAGTAGCTAAAGACCTAATTAGGGTGGGCCGGCCGAATGGCGCAATGGTTAAGAACTGGCTTGGGATGCCAGAGGGCCCCGGTTCGGATCCCACATATGAGGGTGAGTGACGCTGCCCTCTACAGCTAAGATGCTGAACAACAGCTCAACCTGGAGCTGGGCTGCTGTGAGTCGCTGGTGACAGCGTAGGCTGCAGCCCCTGTGGCAGTGGGTTGCCATGGGCTACCGTGTGTAGTTAGCAGCCAGCGTGAGTGGCCCTCAAGCCGCCGTGAGCGGCCGTCCAGAAGCCGACGACTGATCTGCCTCACTCGGGAAGAGCGCAATGATGGTGCCAGCTTGGGCCGGTGAAGCAACATCCTCCACAACTAGACTGAAGAACAAAAAGACAGGAACTTGTCTGTTCCCCTTCCCCCAATTCCCCAGTGCTGTTCCCATCCCCCCAATTCCCCAATAAAAATCTTTAAAAAAAAAAAGACCTAATTAAGGCAATATAAAACACAGAAAATTATTTTGATGACACATATCATCTTTGTTTTTCAGGCAGAAAACTTTTTCATAGTATCAGTAGCAGACCAATAGTCTAACAAACTTTGTTTTATTTAGCAGAGAGAGGAAACTTAACTAATTTTGTACCAGCTTACTTTTGATGTTTAAATTTACTTAACTAATCACATTTTGCTTAACCATATATAAAATTTTCTCAAGATTTTCTTCACACACCTTCTATAAATTTTCTAGTCCCTCTTAGTTTATCTCCTCTCAAGCATTCAGAAATAACCATCCTTAGGACAAACTACTTTCTTTTAGTCTTTCAAGATAACTGAGGCTAAGTGTTATCTAATTCCAAATGCTATGTTCTTTCTGCTGCCCCTAGCTGTGGGGTGGATATGCAGAAGAGAGGCAGAGAGTGGTGCTAGAGAGGGACAAACGGAGGGCACTTTCCAGAATCCCTGAGTCTCCTTATTGAGACGGAAAGGGAGGGTGGGTGTCAGTAAGGCAGGGCTCAAAAGGGAAGAAACCCTGAACAACCAGAGGAAACTTGATAGGGCATCATGGGGTGAGTTAGAGAGGATTTGGAGGCAGAGAGCGTACAGTTGAATTTAGACATTGTGAGTTTATAGCTTATAGTAGGACAGGTCTGCCCAGTTCTGTGATTTCCTCCAGCTGCACAAAAGACCAGCCTGTGGAGTTCCCACCCTGAGAGGCAGCTGGTGTCTCATCCAATTCAAAAGCAAGTCTGGCTATAAAGACAGCCTTGCTGTCATGATCTTATAATACCGATCATATGCTCTCTATTACCCCCAGCCCTGGCCAGGGCCTTATGCCCCTTGCAGGTGGGCCACCAGGATGGTAATTAATTACTACAACAATTACCTCCTGTGATTGCTGTGGGGAGAGCTGCAGAGAAAGGAGGAGCCTGCCAGGAAGGAAAAGCTGCTGAGGGAAAGGAAGGTGAGGACGCAAAGAAAAGTGTTAAAAATGGGACAGAAGGGGCTTTGGGCAGGGGAAATGGAGCCAGCCCTGGGCCTCCCACGTGGCAGCGCTCAGCCAGCGTTTGTGGAACGCCAAGTGGGAGATGGGTAGAGGAGAATCATGGCGGGCTACTCTTTGCTGGCACCACCCAAGGGAAGGGGGAGTTTGTCTTCTTTAGCGCATGCCCTTGGGACAGTGGTCTATCTTTCCCTTTGCTCCTCTCTC